AAAGGTCAGAGTGAAACAATTTTCCAGCCTAGAACAATTTAGGTCAGCAGGAAGAGTCTGACTCAGCAGGGCAGTGGTCAGACCTGGAGCCCAGTGCAGCTGGGACAACTGGAGAAGATCTAAAGAAAAATCCTAGGACAAGGTTTTGCTAGGGACAGCTTAAACAACAAGAGTCTTGCCCTAGGGTTAGCTGGAGGCTGCCTCAGCCCCAGCCACAGGAATTTTTACCCTCAGGACAGTGAGGGGAGCTGGGCATCTGAGCTGGGGAAGATCTAGAGAACCTTTGCTGACAAAGAATGTCAGACCCAGCTGTGCTGTGGAGATGTGGTGGAGGTGAGAAAGAACCAGCACACTCCCAATGAGTGCAGAAGCAGTGGGGTGGGATGCTGCTGGCTGTGGACACTTACAGGGGGTGGGAGGTCTTAGTTTAAGTTCAAGGTGAGAGGGGAGAACTGAAGAGGATCTGAGGCCAGAGACACCATCTCCCATACCACAGGACTAGAGGTGATTATAAAAATTAAACTACTACCAAAAAATATATGCACAGGCAAAGGAGAAAGAATTCAACCACAGAGAGCTATTATGGGAATAGAGAATACTGGGATTCATCTTCAGAGGAGGACACTGAAGCAAAGAAACCTTCTTCTACCCCAAAGAGTAATGTCAAATGGTTACCTGCCCAAAAAGAATTCATTGAAGAACTTTAAAAAGAATTTAAAAATCAAATGAGAGAGATTGAGGAAAAACTAAAAAGAAAAATAAGAACAATACAAGAAAAACAAGAAGATTATAAAAAGAAAGTCAACTAATTAGAAAAGTAGATCCAGAATCTTAAGAAAATGACTCCTTGATAACTAGAATTGGGCAAGGGGAAGCCATAAGAGATCAAGAAATAAAAAAGCAAAATATAAAGAATGAAAAAATAGAAGAGAATGTGAAACCTCTCATAAGAAAGCAACTGATTGGGAGAACAGATCAAGAAGAGAAAAATATAAGAATAATTGGACTACCTGAAAGCTATTATCAAAAAATGAATCTTTATACAATAATACAAGAAATAATTAAAGAAAATTGTCCTGAAGCATTAGAACAAGAGGGGAAAGTAGGAATAGAAAAAGTCCACTAATCACCACCTGAAAGAGATCCTACAAGGAAAACCCACAGAAATATTATAGTCAAATTCCAAAACCCCCTGTTCAAGGAAAAAATATTATGATCAACAGGAAAAAAAAACAATTTACATATGGCAGTATCACAATTAGAATCACACAAGACCTAGCAGTGGTGACATTAAAAGATCACAGGTTTTGGAACATTATATATCCAAGAGCAAAAGAACTTGGCTTCCAGCCAAAAACATCATACTCAGCAAAGCTAAGCAAAATTCTGAGTGAAAGAAAAAATGGATTTTTAATGAATTGTCAAACTTTCAGGACTTTGTTTTAAAAAAATCTGAACTTAATAGAAGATTTGACATACAAGAGCCAAGAGAAATATAAGGTACATACCAATAACTAATTACAAGGGACTCAATAAGGACAGACTCTTTACCTTTTATGTATGTAAAATGTAAAACATATGTCTAAGATTGTTATTAGTAATTAGGTAGCTTGTAAGAAAGATTGGGGTAGACCTGAGTATAATGATTTTGAAAAGTAAAATGTTCAAGAACAGCTAAAAGTAATTATCTTACACAAATGAGGTTCAAGAGGAAGAACCAATACAGAGGAATTAGATGGGTGAGGGGGGCTGTTAATTCTGGAAACCTATTTTCATTGGGAATGAGTTCAAGAGGGAAAAATACATATACATCTAGAAGAGTATAAAAGTATTTTAAATTTAGAAAGAATGAAACTCTAAGGGGATAGGGAGGGGGAAAAGGATAAAGGAGGGACCTTTAGAGGGGAGGGTGAGAATAGGTTAAAAAGGGGATACAGAAGGGTGTTCTGATTTATGGGAATGGGAGGATAAGGGAGGGATTTTGGGGAGGAGAAGGAAGGGATCTTTAGAGAGGAGGGTAAAGGAATAGGTCAAAGGGATATACAAAAGGGTGTTCTGATGTATGGGAAGGGGAGGATAAGGGAGGGATTGTTGTGGGGGGGTAGGTTATGTAATAGGAGGGCAAGGTAGCAGTATAAGTAGAGGAGTTAGGGGAGATAGGAAAAAAGGAGATATGCACAAACATAAAAACAAAGATTAGGAGTAGACTCTGTTAAGGAAAGTATACATATATGTATATGTATGTATGTATATGTATATATGTATGTATATGTATATGAGTATGTACATGTCTATATATCTATCTATCTATCTATCTATCTATCTATATATATATATATATATATATCCACTTTTAATTGTAGCCGGGGGAGAAGGGGAGGAAAGTGGGAAAAAAAGAACAAAATAAAAAAATGTACAGGAGAGAACAAAAGAAAACCTACAAGGAAGCAAAGAAAAGATGGACAGCTTTCAACCTAACACACAGTATTTAACATATACCCTTTCTTAAAATGGAAAATTATTGCTATATATTCTGAATCCTCTCCTATGTTCTGTTATGCACATGACATTTTTTCTTATTTAATATTTAAATTTATAATGTGTTTCTTTTTCTTTTTTATTATGTATATACATTTTAGAAATTAGAAAAAAAAAAAAGGTTAAATTGTATACATTTCCTACTGGGAAGATGATACTTGTAAGTCCTAAGAACTTTCTCATTATAAAAACAGTTAGAAGGAGTATACATAGACAGAGGGCACAGGTGTGAGAAAGAGGGAAGCACTGGGAGAAGGGAGAAGGGAGAGGTAGAATGGGGTAAATTATCTCATATAAAAGAGGCATGAAAGGAAGAGTTTTTAGAATGGAGGGGAAGATGGGGAGAGGTGGTGGGTAATAATAATAACTTTACTCTCATCGGAATTCACTCAAAGAGGGAATAATATACATACTCAGTTGGGTGTAGAAATCTATCTTTCCCTACTGGGAAGTAGGATAAAAGAAGAGGGGAGGGTGATAGAAAGGAAGACAGTTTAGGGGAGGTGGTTGTCAGAAGCAAAACAGACTTTTGAGGAGGGACAGGGTGAAGGAAGACAGAAGGAAAAGGATAAAGAAGGGGGGAAATAAAATGGAGGGAAATACATAGTTAGTAATCATAACTGTTAATGTCAATGGGATGAACTCACCCATAAAACAAAAGCAAAGAGGAGAATGGACTAAAATCCAAAATCCAACAATATGTTGTTTATAAGAAACACACTTGAAACAGATGGACACACACAAAGTTAAAATAAGGGACTAGAGCAGAATCTATTATGCTTCAGCTCATGTTAAAAAAAAAAAAAACAAAAAAACAAAAAACAGGGGCAACAGCCATGATTTCAGACAAAGCAAAAGTAGATCTGATTAAAAGAGATGAGTAAGGAAACTACATCTTGCTAAAAGGTATCATAGACACTGAAGTAATATCAATACTAAACCTATATGCACCAAATAATACAGCATCCAAATTCTTAAAAGAAAAGTTAAATGACTCAAAGGAGGAAATAGATAGTAAAACTAGTGGGAGACCTCAACTTTCCCCTCTCAGAACTAAATAAATCTAACAAAAAAAAAAAAACAACAAGAAAGAAGTTGAGGAGATGAATAGAACTTTTAAAAAGTTAGATATAATATACCTCTGCAGAAAAATGAATTGGAATAGAAAGGAATATATCTCTTTCTCAGTGGTACATGGCACTTACACAAAAATTGACCACGTTTTAGGGATAAGAACTTCACAACCAACTGCAGAAAAGCAGAAATTTTAAATGCATCCTTTTCAAATCACACAGCAACAAAAATTACATTCAATAAAGGGTCATGGAAACATAGACTAAAAATTAATTAGAAACTAAATAATCTAAATCTAAAGAATGAGGTCAAAGAATAAACTATAGAAACAATCAATAAGTTCATTATAGAAAATTACAACCATGAGACAACATACCAAAATTTATGTGATGCAGCCAAAGCAGTACTTAGGGGAAAATGTATATCTCTAAACACTTGAATTGGGCATGCAACCTAAAAAAAACCTAGAAAAAGAACAAATTAAAAATCCCTAATTAAACACCAAATTGGAAATCCTAAAAATCAAAGGAAAAATTAATAAAGTTGAATTAATAAATAAAACTAGGAGCTAGTTTTATGAAAAAAAAGAAACCATAAAATAGAGAAACCATTGGTTAATTTGATTTTTAAAAAAAGAGGAAAAGCAAATTACTACTATCAAAAATGAAAAAGATGAATTCACCAACAATGGAGAGGAAATTATAGCAATTTTTAGGAACTATTTTGCCCAATTGTATGCTAGTAAATCTGACAATCTAAGTGAAATAGATAAAAATTTTAAAAATAAAAATTGCCCAGATTAACAGAAGAGGAAATACAATATTTAAATAACCCTATCTTAGAAAAAGAAATTAACAAGCCATCAAGGAGATCCCTAAAAAAAATCCCTAGGGCCAGATGGATTCACAAGTGAATTCTACCAAAGAGTTAAAGAACAATTAATTCTAATAATATATAAACTATTTGGAAAAAATAGGCAAAGGAGTCCTACCAAGTTCCTTTTATGACACAAATATGGTGCTGATACCTAAACCACAAAGAGCCAAAACAGAGAAAGAAAACTATAGTCTAATTTCCCTAATGAATATTGATGCAAAAATTTTCAATAAAATATTAGCATGGAGATTACAGCAAAATAGGTATCATACACTATGATTAGGTGGTATTTATGCCAGGAATGCAGACAGGTTCAATATTTGGAAAACTATCAGTAGGATAAACCATATCAACAACAAAACCAATAGAAATCATATGATTGTCTCAATGGAGGGAAAACAATAACAACAACAACAACAGAGGACTCTAATTGTAGCCTTTAATAATTGCCCACAGGGAAGAAGGCAGGTTAATAAATTGCCCATCCTTTTGTCTCATCCATACTGTAATACCTCCAAGAAAAGGACATTATTGGTGATGTTGGCCATCCTTTCCAGCACATGCCTGCTGTTTTCCAGTTCTGCATACTTGCTTTCCAGGTGTTTCTTGATGCCACTGGCCTGACTCAGGGCAACCTGTTCCTTCTTTTCTAGAAACAGAAGTACATCTTCCTGGGCCTTCCTGACTGCTACATGAAGCTCCCCAAATTGCTCTTCTGCCACAGCTTTCATCTCAGAGACTGATACCTGGAGGGACCAGAACAAAGTAACCATTTTAAGATTGCCCTTTAAGAAAATTTGACATTCAAAATTGTAAATTCACCAAAACAATACAATCAAGAATTTTTTTTGTGTGTGCAATACAAATGGAGTCTGAATTATACAAGGATTCTTTGCAGAATCCCTTTAAAAATTGAGATTCCCTAATGCATTTAAATATTTATGTACAGATCATTACCAATGGGCTGGGCAATCGCCAGTCATATTGACTTTGTTTTGTCACTGGACTCTGTCGGTTGGAGGAGAGAGTGAGGCTGATGATTTTGCACAGCTCTGCCTCACTTAAATCCAATTCATGCATAAGACACTCTTGTGATGCCTGGTCCTCTTCAAGAACAAAGGACCCACACTAGTTAAGGAACTAAAAACTAAAAACTAAAGCTTTGGAGGCTGGGAGTAATTACCATACTCTATTATGCCCTTCAGAAAAACTGCCTGACCTTCAGGGGTTAGTTTGGAGGTCTGAGGAAATGGATGGATTCACATAGAAAAACTGGTAATAAATGATACAATCCAACATTAATTTTCTTCAGTATTTTTGTTACTACCTTGTTAAATTTAATATATGCTTTTAAAAATAAACTATATGACAGAAATTCACATTTTTACTATTTTTCTCTTCTAATTTGTAGGTATGAATTTTGTGTTTACTGATAATTGTTACATTTATAAGAAAAAACAGAAAAATATAAAAGTTATAGTACAATATGCTTTTTAATATTTTAAAGTATGAGCAGGTAGCCATGTTTCATGAGCAGACAACCATGCTACATGCAACATAAACAGACAAGAACAAAATTAGGAAGGCTTTCTTAGCTTCTCCCAATTCCCTCTTCTATTTCCTTTTCATCCTGTATATAACTTGTTCCTACATATTTGTTTGCTTATTATCACTCCCATTATATTGTGAGGTCCTTGAAGGCAGGGACTGTCTTTTGCCTCTTTTTGTATCACCAGTGCTTAGCATAGTATCTGTCACATAGGAGGCATTTAATTAATTAGTGACTGAATGAGATATGAACAGAGTTTAGTACTGCTTAATACTGTTTAATACTTTTAACAAAGACCTGGGCTTAAATTTAGCTTCTGACACATACTAAGTGACAATGAATTAATCGTTTAACCTTTCACTGCTTTAGGCCGCTCTAAGGCTATTAGAGAGGAGTTGCCTATCTACGTAAGCAGAGGGATTTTTCATAACTTCCCTCATGGGTGAAATCATAGATCTGTTTCCCTGACACTCCATTTCCCCTTACTCCCACAAAAAAGGTATTGTTCAGACTATAGTAAGAAATAAATGATCAGCAATTGTCATGAATGACTGTAATTAGGATTAGCTTTATACATTTATACAGTCAAAGCAACTTTCTAGTTTTCTCCTTTCCTTAGGTGGTAACAAATTTCTGTTGCTTGTTCAGTTGCTTTTTAGTCATGTCAGACTCTTTGTGACCCCATTTGGGGTTTTCTTGGCAAAGATACTGGCATGGTCTGCCATTTCCTTCTCCAGCTCATTTTATAGATGAAGAAACTGAGGCAAACAGGGTTAAATGACTTGCCCAGGGTCACACAGCTAGTAAGTGGCTGAGGCCAAATTTGAACTCAGGAAGATGAGTCTTCCTGACTCCAGGCCTGGCACTCTATCTACTGTACCACCTAGTTGCCCAATATTGTATATAGTTTAATCTTTATCAGCTACACATTAATATTCATTTTCTTTAAAACAAACAAAAGTCTGGCATCTGATTTGTAGCAGCCAGTGTTCCCTGTGTCCCTATTCCTCCTACACCATTTATCTCTCAAAGCTCAGGTTCCATGTGATTCCTTCCAAGTCCCTAATCTTTCCCATTCTATTCCCTATTTTCCTACTTCTAGCATGGAGGGATAGGCTGTGATATTACTCCAAACCCTCACTCTCTCTGATATGGAGAATGGGCTCAAACAAATAAGCTTATGCCTCGCCTCCTGGCTACCTTTTCTGCTTTGTGCTTCCCTTCTTGAATATGTGATCAGACATCACTCTTGAGGTAGATGTACGCAGACTTAGAAGTGACTGTCAGAAGAGTGTGAGAAAAGGGGGTCTATTGTCCCTCTCATTAGAGGACAGACTCCCCAGAACTAAACCTTGTCTGGACTAAATGCCTATGTCCAGAGTTGAGAGAGGCCCATAGGAAGAGGAAAAAGGTGCAAATCCCCAAGGTCTTAGCCTCACCATCAGTTTCCTTATTGTTAGATCAAAATATTCAAGGCAGTTTTTTATAATGGTATCAAAAAATGGAAGAAAAAAAGAAAAAGTTCCTCATTGATTGAGGAATAAAATGTGGTATGGAATGTGATGGAATATTATTGTACAATTACAAAATTGAGACCGAGGAATTCTGAGAAACAAGGAAAGACATATGAGCTCTTGTAGAGTATAATTTACACAATCAGGAGGATAATATACATAATGACCATAAAGTCTAAATGAAAACAAAACTAAAAAGCAGACAAATGTAGATTAATTGTAATAATTAACCTCAGTCCAGGGAAACAAATGATAAAACACATTTCCTTTGTCTTAGTAGTGTCTACCTCTGTAATAGACTTACAGGAACAAGATGTTACATATGCATATTATATATATGTATATATATACATATTTGTCAATTAGTTGTTTATTGTTTTTCTTTTTTAATTATATATTTAATGGAAATCTGCCTTCCTACTCTATCTCCCCTCCCTCCCATTGTGAAAGAAAGAAAAACAAATCTCTTGTTACAAACACATATAGTCAAACAAAACAAAATCTCCAATTGGCCATTAAAAAAAATTCTCTCAGACTGCCCTGTGAGTCCATCACCTCTCAGTTGGGAGGTACAGTATGTTTCATCAAAAGTCCTATAGAATATAGTCATTGCTTTGGTCAGAGTTTTAAAGTCTTTCAGAGTTGTTTGTTTTTACAATAACGTTATTGTATAAATTGTTCACCTGGGTTTGCTTACTTCACTCTGTATCAGTTCATCTAAGTTGTAGACCCCTCTCCAAATCATTTTGAACCCCAACACCTGAGAAAGGTCTAAAACCTGAATTGGCCAATCAGGGAGAGACATTTTGGCCAATTCTGGGCTTAATCTACCATAATGCTTTGCATGCTCTGCTCTCTGAGTGAACTAAAAATGCCCCTTTCTGTGTCAGCAACTACAGGGACAGATGAAACAGACCAGCATTCTTCCTGTTTATGATCACTAAGGACAGGATGTGACCAGACACCACCTTGAATAGTGGGACTTTTCTTATCTTGGTATCCTGTGGACATATGTCATGTAGGGGAAACACAGATATCCTAGAACTATAATTTCAATTGACACTTTGTTACTTCTCTTGTCTTATTGTATATACAACCGATTCAACTAAAAAACTTCCTTTCTCAGGCTATGTGTTAAAAACATATGGAGGCTATATACTTTTTTGAATGACACAGACCTCCTCAATCAGGATTGCTCTAAGAATGTAAATTGTCTATTTGAAATTGCTTAAGTCAGAGTTAAAGCTCTGACTCCATATACATGCCGCTAACTTAAGGAAATAAACAATATGAATTTACTTATTACCCAGCTTGTTGCCTCCTTAACCAACTTTCAGGTCAACAAAGTCTTCCTAGTTTTCTCTGAAACTATCATCTTCATCATTTCTTACAGCAAAATAGTATTACATCATATTCACGTACCATAACTTGTTCAGCCGTTCCCCAGTGGATGAGCACCCCCTGAGTTTCCAGTTCTTTGCAAACACACAAACAAAGCTGCTATAAATATTTATACATATGAGTGCTTTTCTTCTTTTGCCTATTTGGCTATAGATATTTGTATTATTTAGTATTGCTAAGTCAAAAGATATGCATAATTTATTAACTTTTTTCATATTTAATCAATATTTATTTAGGACATGCCTTGACAAAAAAAAACTTGCCTTTCACAGCAATGTTGCATTATAAAAGCACTTTCTATACCAATTTGCTTTTTTAATGTTATTTGGTATGCAGACTAATGCGACTGAAACCCATAGATGGACTCTTCCATTTAGTTCTGATCCAAGAGCTTAAAGAGTATTTCCTGGTGACAAAGAAGGCCTGGGGAGGAAAGGAAGTAGGTAGGGATTTTCCCAGTTTGTTAGTTTTGAAGGGCAAAGGACAGAGGGGGTTTCATTGAAATTTCACCTTTATTATATTACATAATGCTTACGACAGATTCCAGAATGGCCATTCTGCGCTATAACACCACAATTCTCTTTCTGCGAACAATGTATTTACAAATGTCCTTATTGACTTATACAACAATCTAATAATAACTAGTAAAGGGTAAAAAGACACACTCCTAATGTACTGTTTGTAGTGTTTGGTTTGGGATTTTTCTGGGACCAGGGTGGGGAGGCAAACGGTGGTTTGAGATTGAGGGAGGTACTGCATACCACCACACTTACAAACTCTGGAAAAATTCCTTAACACAACAGCCAAAAAGATTTGAAGTACTTTTTTTTTAAGGCACAAAGGCAAGAAAATAAACATCACTGAAGAAAAAATTGTTAATTATATAATTATTGTAGTTTAGTTAAATGCAAAACTAAATTCCTAGTTACTTAACCAAACTACACAGATCTAATGGGGAAAAAAGAAACAAACCAACTTGGAAGAACCAACATAAAAAGAAATTAATGGCATAAGCCTGCATAATCTTACATTTCATTTCTTCTCTCTCCTTGTCCACAAAGGCCTTGAGGGCTTAGAAGTAAACTGCTACCCTCTCCAACTTGACCTCAAATGTGATATTCTTTTTTTTTGTTTGTTTGTTTGGTTTGGTTTTTTTTTTTTGGTTTTTTGTTTTAGGCAATTGGGGTTACGTGACTTGCCCAGGGTCACACAGCTAGTAAGTGTCAAGTGTTTGGTCTGAGGTCATATTCGAACTCGGGTCCTCCTGACTTCAGGGCCTCCTGACTTCAGGGTCAATGCTGTATCCACTGCGCCACCTAGCTGCCCCTCAAATGTGCTATTCTTGCAAGAGTTTTTGTTTTTCTGTCTACAATCTTTTCTGTCAGTTACACCAGGGCCAAACCTGAAATCCCTCCATGATTTCTTTGGGGTATTATACTTATGTAGTGCCTTGTCTGAACTGTATTAAAGACAGAAAAAGAGAGGGAAAAGACCTGTTGTTTATTAAAAGTTTATCAATAATGTAATAGCTCCCACTTCACAATCTTAAAACCTTGATAGGAGAGTGTCCATAAAGTCTTTGCAATTTTACCACAAGGAGTGGGTACAATTATTTTTAAAAATGCAACATGCTGCTGTTTGCAGTGTTTGGGTATGAACATATGAAGGGAGTCATTTCTCTTGGCCAGAAAGTGACATTCTTGGCAGTCACTATTAACTGCCTCCCTTTAGTTTGTTTAAACTGACTCATAAAAAAGAAAATCATCCCCTAAGCCTATCCCTCAGCAAAACACTGTCCTTTCCATAATGCCAGTTGGCTTTGTCTCAAGGGAACTCCATGAGTAGGCTAGAAAAAGGTTTATGGCATCTATCTTTGTCCAAGGACAGAGGCTTGGTTTATCCCTAATGCTGAAGGCCGACTCAGATATTCTTGACTGCTTGCTAATGGTCTATTTATAACTTGCTTTGCGAGACAAGGGTAAAAGTATCAGGGGCAGGTTGTTTTGGGAGTCGATAATGGGAGAGAGAGGGAAAGATCAGGTCTAGACAGGTAAATGCTAAGTTCTAAACATATAGTTCTTTATTGCCTCTAGGATAAAATAGAAAATCTTATGTTTGGCTTTTAAAGCCCTTTGCAACCTGGCCTTAACCTGTATTTGCACTCTTATCATACAAAACTTCCCTTTTCAAACTCTACAATTCAGCCAAACTAGCCTTCTCTCTATTCCTCATACATGACACCACATCTCCTGTCTCTCTCTGCCTTTGTACTGGCTTTCTTCCATGCTTGGAATACACTTCTTCATCACAACTACCTTACAGAATACATCTCTTCCTTTAAAATGCTTTCAAGCACCACCTTCTACATGAAGCATTCCCTGATATTCCCTACTACTAGTGCCCTCTCGCCTAAACTACTTTGTGTTATTTGTATGGCATAATGGATAGAGAGTCAGCTATGAAACTAAGAAGACTTGGGTTCAATCTTGCCTGACCAATGCTAACTGATTAACTCTGGACAAATCACAACACTCTGGTTTGCATTGGTAGAGGGAGTTTCTTTACCCTGGATTTCCTTCTTCTAATAAAGTTACAGATACCATCCCTATCTTTTTTTATATTTATTCAGTACATATTTGTATGCATACTTGTTATTTCCTGACAATATAAACTCCTGAAACCTAGGGATTATTTCATTCTTTGTAACATTTTAAACTCTATAGCAATGTCTGGCATATGGTAAGATCATAATAAACACTTTTTACCACATTTTTTGATTGATTGATTGATTCCCACAATATGATTGGCTGATCATACACTCCTTAAGGTCAAGTCAGAGCTCGCTTGGGATCCCTGTTGGGATCCCTATTGGGATCCCTGGCTTCCACTTTGAAGACCATTGCTCTTGTCAGCTGAGTAATACTTAGTATTATCCTGAAATACTAAGAATAATGAGAGAATCTTTCTTGGATATGGAAATTACCCATTAGGGACTTTGCCAACATCCTCAAGGTGGTGATCTGTTATATGCGACCTCATATGACTGGGACTTCTTTTAAGAAGTATGGCTATACAGAGGTATCACCCAAGCTCACCTAAACCATTCTTACCAAAATTGATTTGTTGTTAGCTTGTAGTCTGGCAATGACATTTTCAGTTGCTTTGATTTTTCTGTCCAAGTCCAGCTGGATCTGCTGAAGTTCAGCCTGTTAGAAGATAAAGAGACTGTTGAAGAGAAAGATGAACATGTGGGCTCTGCTCTTTTCACATAAAAAGAACAACCTCAACTTAATTTCTGGAAAATAACCAAGGTCACACAGCTGAGTAAGTTGCCCTCCTATAAATTAAACGTGGAAAGTATTTGTTGAGACCCAACAACCAGGAGCATTGAACAAATTCAGAAGGGTTCAGAGACAAATGTATCAGGTAGAGCTGAGCTTTCTTTTTTTATTTCCCAGCTGGGGCTAATGACTCATAAGGGAATCTCAAGGTTTTTTGGCATTTCTGAAAAGGAGACTCTTATCCAATCTCATCTCATGCTTAGGGTTAATTAATCACTTATTGAGAAGATTGAGCTATTTGAAAGGGGGTGAATGATTTTAAAATTCACCACTTTTTTTTTGAACTGTGCCTTCCACTGTTCCTTTCAAATAGTAGACATGTAATAAATGCTCTTAAAAACTGAAATAAACTTAATTCCATTGGGCTATGAGGATGAAAAGAAAAATAATCCTAGAAGCTTTTAATAGCTGCTATAGGTCATAAGTGCTAATGAAATTCAAAGGCAATGAATTAGGTAACTTTTCTTCTACCATTATATCCAGAAACTCTTGTCAAAGACTATATACAAGCAGAGTATAAAGTCTAGCAAGTCAAGCAGGAGAGTCTCAGAGTGGAATGTTTTATCATTCCCAAAGGCATTGCAGCTTTAGGAGAAAACCAGCAGCCTCAGTGATTGACCAGAAGAAAATGACACAGTTTCCTCAGTTTCATGCTTTAGGCCTCATTGAGGTCAGAAGGAAGCATGCTGTATGGACATGGTTAGCCTTATATATATACAAAGGAGATTGAGAAAGAGAGGGAGGGAAAACAGCCTACATTTCCCAAAATATTTCCTATTTCTTCTCACCTATGTCTACTATGTCACCTACATCTTCTCTCCCATAACTCACAAATAATTTGTGTGATGGGAACCTTTCATTTTCCTTTTGTTCAATTTTATTATGCCATTTCTCCTGGAATATTTTGGTTAACTAAAACGTGTCTTCTGTCAATATTAACCTCATCTGGTTTAAAAAAAAACTGATTCATGGCATGATAGTATTAAGAGATTTTTATCCTAAGATAAGAAAGCAAAGGAGAGGAAGAAGGGAATAAAAGCATCTTTAAAACTTCCCAAAATAGGTTTTATTTGTGGAAGAATTTCCCTTACACCAAGTTTTGGCTATCTTTGTGACGTGTAAATCTTTGCCTCTCAATTAGCCCGCTGTGATTTCTTTAAAGTGTAGCCTTGTAGTTCTATAAATGCAGGACTTTACAAAATCAGTGTTTAAATCTGTAAATTAGTCTGTTTACTAATTTGTTCTCACTTAATTTGTTCACCCTTAATTGAAGGAAGCATGAGATAATGAATCTGTTTGACTAGGCCTGTGTGACCTTTAAGAGGCCATATTCTTACATGTTTAAAAAATTATTTCTCTGGTGCAATTTTATCTATAAACACTTGTCAGAAACTCAAATTTTAGCTCAAGATTACTTTTCTACATCCTGACACTGTTTAAACATAAGAAAAGGTAGGTTGTTACCTCTATGATTTCTGTGTTATGATAGACTTATTTGGTAGCAGTAAAAATTAAAAAACAAGATATTTCTCCCATTAACACTTGGAATCCCTATCATTAGAAGTTTGATACCAAGGACAAGGACCTTTCTTTTTTTTTTTTTTAATTAATTTGTTTATTTTTAGTTTTCAACATTCACTTTCATAAGTTTTTGAGTTTTAAATTTTCTCCCTCTCTCTCTCTTCTCCTCTCCCCAAAACATTATGCAATCTGATACAGGATCTACATATACATTCATATTAAACATATTTTCACATTATTCATTCTGTAAAGAAGAATTAGAACCAAAGAGAGGAACTACGAGAAAGGAGAAACAAAACAAAACAACAAAAAAAGAGAGCAACTAGTATGCGTCCATTTGCATTCAGACTCCAAATTCTTTCTCTGGATTTGGATAGCATTTTCCATCACAAGTTTTTTGGAGTTGTTCAGATCCTTGCATTGCTGAGAAGGCTAAGTCTATTAAAGTTAGTCATTGCACGATGTGGCTGTTACTATGTACAATATTCTTATGGTTCTGTTTATTTTACTCAGTTCATATAAGTCTTTCCAGGTTTTCTGAAGTCTGCCTGCTCATCACTTCTTATAACACAATAGTATTCCATTACATTCACATACCACGACTTGTTCAGCCATTCTCCAATTGATGGGCATCCCCCCAATTTCCAATTCTTTGCCACCACAAAAACTGCTGCTATAAATATTTTTGTATAAGTGGATTCTTTTCCCATTTGTATGCTCTCTTTGGGATACAGACCTAGAAGTGATATTGCTGGCTCAAAATTACACAGTTTCATAGCCCTTTGGGCATAGTTCCAAACTGATCTACAGAATGGCTGGATCAGTTTACAACTCCACCAACAATGCATTAGCATTCCAATTTTCCCACATCTTCTCCAACATTTATTTTTTTTCCCATTTTGTCATGTTAGCCAATCTGAGAGATGTGATGTGGTACCTCAGAGTGGTTTTGATTTGCATTTCTCTAATGACTTATTCAAATCCAAATTTTATTTCAGGTTTATTTTTTTGTCTGGAATTTAAATCTATGCTTAATCATCATAATAAAATTTAGGTTTTACTTACCTCTATAATTTCTATGTTATGGTACATAAATGTCATCAGCAGTTACTTAACACATGAACTCAGAAAGGGGATATTTCTTCTATAATATGGTATAGAGGAAAGTCAAACCTATGTTTGAATTCTAGTTTTCATACTTACTAGTTTTATGACCCTGGGTAAGTAATATAATTCCTCTGAGCTTCAATTTCCTCATTAATAAAATGGATATAATAATACTTCTAATATCCATACCTCAGAGTTATTAGTTATGAGAAAAATACTTGGAAAACCTTAAAATGCTATAAAAATGTGAGCTGTGACCTATATATAGTACATGCTTTCTGAATTGTTTACTAACACATACATCTACATTTTATAGAAAAATATATAAAAAAGATAACAGACTATAGATACAAATCCTACAGGAAAGATACACCTTCTAGTCTAGTGATCTATTTAAACAGCTGCCATTTGGAGTCTGAATGAATGATGGATGAGAGAAATGGGATGGAAGAGGGTTCATGGTAACAGGTAAAGAACTGAGGCCTTTTTCAAAATAGCTGAGGATGGAGGAAATGATACCCAGATAATTAAAACCAAATTTTTTTTTAATCAAGCAAGAACAAATTTAAAAGTAAACTAAGTATGGAAAGCCCCAGATGCCTAGTGTGCCCCACTCTTGATCCTACCTATGTATATAAAATGACCCCACCCCAAGGGCCCTGAGCAACTCACCTGCTTTTCCCTCCTGACTGCCTCTAGGGAGAGAGTAGGGTGGCCCCTGTGGTCTTCCTGGGTACATTCTTCACAGATGCATTGCTGCTCCAAGCAGCAAAACCAAGTAAGTTGGCGCTGGTGAGCTGAGCACTTACGTGGGTCTGTATCCCTTACTGGCTTGGTCAGCTGGTGACTATAGAGCTTGCTGTTCTCCTGATGGGGCCGAACATGATCCTCACAATAATTCACCATACAGGTCAAGCAGGACTTCACGGCCCTCACTTTTCCCTCAAGGCAGAAGTCACACGTGATCTCATTCTCCCCACTACTGGGCGCCCCCTGCTCTGGAATCCTTCCTTCCCTTTTAGATTCAGTCACTGTCTCCTCCAGTCTTCCTCTAGGCTCACTTCCACAACTGCGTGTGTTCTCATTTTCCCCTTCCTCTTCGTGGCTTTCTGTCTTAATATCAGTATTGCGCAATGCTGGCGTCTGAGGAGTGGAATGAACTTCTGGAGGTACTGTGTCTAATTCAGCCATTTGAGAGGGTCTCAATACAGAAATCTCCCTCTACCTCATATCAGTGAAGGAACTGAAGAACCAGAAATCGAGGAAATGAACCACGCCTAGATGACTGCAGCTGCTACTGGGGCTTTAACTCTTTCCTGTCCTCTAGAAAACCGGTTTACTAATTGCATTATTCTTAGCCAGGACAAAAGCCAACAGCCAGCGACCTGGGTTAAGTTACTTAGCATATATGTCAAAGCCAGCCCAGAACCACTCCTCTTCACTTTCAAGCCTCTCCTGTGTTCCTCCCTGAAACCCAGATCTCCTGCAGGCTGGAACTTCAAGGACTTTTAGCGTAATCTTTTTTTCTTTTTCTTTTTTTTTCTCCAGATGCTCTGCCAAAGATAGTGTGTTTTCTAGTAGCTAAAGTCACCCTGGTCAGGACTCAAGAATCCTCTGTTCTTATCTAAGTTTCCACTGTTCCACCATGTACGAATCACCCTCTGGACTTCAGTTGCCTTGTACTAAACAAAGGGAGATTGAGGAAACATGTTCTCATCATATATGTGTGTGTATATAATTTTTCCCCCATACACCCATATATGTATATATGTATGTATGGCCCAGGATATACCAAAGAAAATCCTGGAGCTTCAATGAACCTGAGAGGTCTTCAAACATAACCCTTATCCAGATAAATATAAAGAATAAATTAGGAAGCAGGCATACTGTATTTCACTGCATAATCACTGCCACTGAATAATCATTGCATCCTATTTTTTTCAGTACAAAAATTGGTTTATAACCTTTCATTGTATAATCATCATATGGTATAATTCTGTTTGTTACGCCACTTAAAAGGTAAACAGAGCAGCAATGTATTCACCAATGGCACATGGATACACATTTATCTCTTGCACATTGCTAGCCAAGAGCCTAAAATTCTCAGCACACTAGCATTGTCAGTACATTTTCGAAAGCCAACTTGCATGGTTTGTTTAGAGTGCTGCAGTACTAACGGTATTGTCACTCAACCCATTGAAGAACTGTAGCCTCAAGGGGAGCTGGCTGGCAGGCAAAGCTGCCACAAACAAGTCATGTAATATGATAAGACTTGCATCTTCCCGCCCTAGCTAAACTGTACAGTTCATCTGCCAGTGATACATTAACATGCAAAGCATTTCTTTCTGATTATGAGTAAAACTATAAAAACTATTCTGTGGGCTTGAAGCTGAAAGTGATTGTGTTCGCTGAACAGTGGAAAACAGAGCTGCAGAAAGATAAGTTTTCAGTGAGTGAAAAGTTGGTGTGAGATTGACGGAAACTAAAAGACAAATGATACTGGCAAAAAAATTTTTACAGCTTCATGTAATGGCCGCACTCCACTTTTTGCAAAAATTTGTCATAAAATTTACATGATTATGCATGAAATATAGTATCTCCAAAGAAGATTATAATGACAAAAAGAAAGGACTCACATACACCAAAATATTTACAGCAGCAATTTTTGTGGTAGCTAAGAACTGGAAACAATGTAAATGCCTATTGATTAGTAAATGACTAAACAAACCATGCAGGATAGATGCTGGGGGTTCACTCTCAAAAGCCTACTTAAACTAGCAGTTCAGCTCACCAGAGCAAAGCTACTCTTTAGAGTTTTAGGGATAACCCTAAGAGGTTGAGAGTTTTCTTTAGGGCTTTGTATTGTTCACAAGCTACCAATCTGGAGTGTTTCCCCCAGTATCTATTGCCAGTTAATATCATCCAGTATCATTTAACAAATTAATATCAATTAGTTTTTATAAAAGGAGATTTACTGAGAAACTACAGCCAGTCACTCTCCCCCCTATACATTTCCATCCTTAGGGAAAATTGACTCAAATCTAAAGTAATTGCTACAAAACGCTCCTTTCCCACCAAAGGGGGAGTACTCCCAGGCTTTGGCAGTCTTTTTCTTCCTTTGTGGAATCCCCTCTGAATTCATTTCTGAATGTGTCAGCCAATGGATAAGTCTATCTCTTGTTTGCAAAATGTAACATCTCAGCTAACAGCTTGATTGCTTGCCTTCTCAGTTAGCGGGGAGGGGAACAAGAGAATTTGGAACTCAAAATTTTTTTAAAAAAGGAATGTTAAAAATAGTTTTTACATGTAATCGGGGAAAAAAATAATTAATTAATTAAAAACCCCAACAGTGATGGGAAGTGATGCACCTCTGAAAACCCCCAGAAACTAGAATGATTCTAAGCTGTTTATCTAAAAACAGGAATTCTAGTAATGGCCAAACTCTGCTGATTTTGTGACTAGAGAGCTGTCCCCCAGTCCACTCCCTCCAAGCAGGCCCTTGCCAGGATTCCAGGCTCTGCCTCCTTCCTGGCCACAGAAGCATGCCAGAGCTTGCTCCAATGGATGGAAACCCTATGGCTCTTGGCCACTCTGGAGATCATGCTCCTGCTTAGAGCAGGACAAGCTGTGGATGAGAAAGGTCACAGTCACCAGTCTATTCAGGCTTCTTCTGCTTTCTGTTAGAGATGTAAGTGTGCAAGGAGGCACAACGACCACAGACAAACACATGCAGATGGTTGTTAATATCCATGCAGTGAGTAATGGATGGGTGTCTCTGGGGCTGTTGACATTAATGTAAGTGAACCAGTTGAAATAGTATATACAAAATGGGTGGGGAAGCAAATAAAATGGACAACAAAAACTTGTCAAAGGCAGACTTTTAAGAAACTCGAAATGTAGACCAGCCTATTCCTCCATAATAAATTCATGATCCTATCCATGTGGGTGCTCCCTCCAGCCATCCTGGGTAATCCCTGTCCACACCCTCCCATAAATCTGCCACAGGGGTACATGCTGACATCATTCCCCAAATGCTTGTGATGTTGCATGGAGACTCAGAAGCCATGTGGATATCTATGGTTGCCCCTGGCTCTAGATGTAACACATCCATCTCTTTGTGTGGTGATTTGCCTCTCCAATGACAGCCTCTATACCACTTTTTTTGCACAACACCTGGTTTGTAATGTGTTGCAGCTTGGAGACACACCCCATGTATGTGTCTCCATGGCCTTTTGAATGATTGTCAATTTCAGTTTTTTGGAAGGGAAGGATTCCATGACTCTTCCAATGTCACTGCAAAAACATTGGTGTTCAAAAGATGGGCTTTTGTTTCAGGGAAATCTTAGGGTCTTTAAAAGAATATGTACATACATACATACATATAACATACATACATATATAATATATATATATGTATATGGAAATGAGTCTTGAAAGCCTTTCCTAGTCATAGAAAAAGGGCTTAAATAATGAGATATTTTACTGAAAAAGATGTGGCCAAGGCCATGATATCCTTTATGGGGTACAAATTAGTCCCTTCAATGAATCAGAAAGGAAGCAACCTAATAGATGGCTGAAGAAATGTTAGTTCACTAAGTCCAGGAGAGAAACTCAATTTCAGAGGAACTTAGTGTGATAAAAATTATCTGAAGAGTCTATTGATTAGGTACAGCTGTCAATCATCAAATCAACATGCAAAATAGTTATCTGCAGATTTTATCTATACTCAGAGATCAGGTTTATCTGTATGAAAAAATCAGAGTTTAGACTCTAAAGCAATCTTATATAGAACATGAATATATTAGTAGTATAGAAAAATTGAATTTTATAGAAATCAGGAGTAAAAATGTATACTTAAAAGTATACATGTTTAGAAACAAGTAACAGCGTGGAAATAAGAGCATGTGCTAACTTTTCATTACAGGAACTGTGACTTCCTTCCTGGCTTTGATTGTGCAGGTGTTGGAGAACTTCAAGCTTCCAGGAATAATGTCTGTGACTCAAAGGAAGTCAGGGAAAGCAGTAGACAGAGATGACAAGAGACAGCATTTCAAGGATGGGGGACAGCCAGAGAAAATGCCCAGAGCCGAGAGATAGAGGCAAAGAATAGTCTCTTTTACCAAGTAAAAAAAATCAGTCTGGGAGGGGAAGACTCTCAGGATTTCTGGCTAAAACAGAAATAATTGCTATTTAAACACACTCTGAGCCATCAGGGCCCAAACAATGGCTAGGTGAGGCTTGGGTTCCGACCTATTCTTGGTCAATCAATGAGAACCAGAGTGATTTAGGTCTAAGGCATAGTCCTTAAGAAATAAATCTTCTAGCCTGTAAGCCCCCAAAATATCCTGGAAGGTTTCAGCAACCAAAACTTATATTCCTTTGGGCAAAGCACCTGCAAGTAAGAGTATGATACACTATGTGGACAGAGGGAGAGGTGGAAGTGTTTACACACACACACACACACACACACACACACACACACTCTCTCAAGAAGTCTATCTTACCTAATTGGGAAGTAGGAGGGGAAGATGACAAGAAAAAGGGAGGGTTGATAAAAGAGAGGGCAGATAAAAGAAGGCAGTGGTTGGAAACAAAATAGAATTTTGGAGAGGGACAGAATAAAAAGAGAGAAGGATAAACAGAAGAAAATAGGATGCAGGAAAATAAACAGTTGGTAATCATAACTGGGATGAAATTACCCATAAAATGGAAGCAGATAAAAGAATAGATTAGAAACCAGAATCCAATAATATGTTGTTTACAAGAAACACACTTGAAACAGAGACACACACACAGAGTTGAAATAAGGGGCTGAGTAGAATCTATTATGCTTCATTTGATATAAAAAAGGCAGGGGTAGCAATCCTGATCTCAAACAAAGTAAAGCAAAAATAGATTTCATTAAAAGGAATAAGCAGGGACACTACATTTTGCTAAAAGATAGCTCATAGACAATGAAGTAATATCAGTACTAAACATATATGCACCAAATGGCATGGCATCCAAATTCTTAAAGGAAAAGTTAAATGAATTACAGGAGAAAAAAGATAGTAAAACAATACCAATGGGGGAACTCAACTTTCCCCTCTCAGAGCTAGATAAATCTAACCATAAAATAAATAAGAAAGAAGTTAAGGAGATGAATAGAATCTTAGAAAAGTTAGGTATGATAGGTCTCTGGAGAAAACTAAATGGGAATAGAAAGGAGTATAACTTTTTCTCTGCTGTATATGGCACCTTT